CCTTGCATTCCCAGAGCCTCGCTCAGTGCCTGTCACAGAGTAGATCTTCAATAAAGCTGAATGAACCGGGCACCGGTGGCTCACACCTGTAATCCTAGCTACTCAGGAGGCAGAGATCAGGAGGATTGCGGTTTGAAGCCAGCTGCAGCAGTTAGTTCTCGAGACCCTATCCCAAAAATACCCAACACAAAAAAGGGTTGGTGGAGAGGCTCAAGTGATAGAGCACCTGCCTAGCAAGTGTGAAGCCCTAAGTTCAAACCCCAGTATCACCAAAAACAAAGACAACAACAACAAAAACCTGCATGAATGACTAGAGGCCTAAGGCAGACTGGGCCAAGAGCTGTGGATCCTGACTGCTAGAGTGTGAGGAGGTTGTTCTGGGCCTCTGGATCCACCCCCAGGGCAGGCGTGGGACCCCTTCCGGTTTATCTGACACTGAGAATCTGCTCCCAGAGCCAAGTTTGGCCCTGGTTTACTGCAAACCACGGGGCAGGGGGGTGGAGGTTGGGGGGTGGCGAGCTGTACACTGTCCCCTGACGGCCAAGGCTGGTTCCTGGCTCCCTGAACCAATCGGGTAAGAACCAATCAAGCCTTTCTACATCAACCATTGAAGACTGGGCTCAGCAAGAAGCAGGAGTTGCCCAGTCCCTGGGAGCATCCCAGTGGCCTGCCTCTGTCCTCTTGCCTCTGTCAGTGCCTGACACAGGCTGAGATTTTTCAGGACCACATTGCTGTACCAAATGTGCCTGAGGAGCCCCTGGCACTCAGTGGAGGTTGTGGTGTCTGGTCCTATGTGTACCACATTATATTTATATATATATTATAAATATAGTAGCACACTATATTTATAGGATATTTTTATTTCTTGAAAAAGTCAGTTATCATTTTATGAACTTTAACTTTTTTTGTGTGTGTGTGTGTGCTGGGGATTAAACCCAGGGCCTTATGCGTGCTAAGGTCCTACAGCTCTACTGCCCAGGCTGGCCTTGAACTCTCAATCCTCCTGCCTCAGCCTCTCAACTGCTGTGATTATAGATGTGTACCACCATGTCTGACTCAATTTTTCTTAATAAAAAAAAGAGCTGGGCACTGTTCGCTTCACCCCTCTAATCCCAGCTACTTGGGAGGCTGAGATTGGGAGGATCTGGGTTCAAGGCCAGCCCACCCAGGCAAGTAGTTCACGAGACCCCCATCTCCAAAATAACCAGGGCAAAATGGACTGGGTATGTGGCTCAAGAGGTACAGCACCTGCTTTGCAAGCACAAAGCCGTGAGTTCAAACCCTAGTCCTACCAAAAAACAAAACTAAACTAAAAACTCCCTTTAATCCTGCCCTGCTCCCACAAACAGTGCAACTATGCTCTTGTTCCATTTCCTCCAGCCATGTCTGGCCACCCAGAGTGAGAGAGCGGGCGCCATCTCCCAGCATTGTACCCTCCACACACATCCATATGCCTTCATGGCAGCTTGAAAGGAGGCAGCCCGAAAGGCCTTGCAGGGGTGTCTGCAGCTTCTAGTGTTCTCTTTGAGGCTGGCTGGGCAGCCTGCCGGTTTCTTCTTTCCTACTTCTATTCAGCTCAGACTGACCTGGAACTCATGATCCTCCTGCCCTAGCCTCCAAAGTGCTGGGATTATAGATATGCACTACCATGCCCAGCCCTTCCTTCTTTAGAATAGCTTCCTTGGAATAAATCCACCTCTCCAATCACTTGAGGCCATTTGAGAGTTTATTCCTGGGTTCTTTACTCCTCCCTCTACCTCTTTTCCTAGGGTTTCTGTAACTCTCAGGACTTCACCTCCATCTCTCCATTCCTCTCCTCATGGGTTCTCTGACTTGCATTTCCAAAATCTTTCTTTCTTGGTGCCTGGAAATCCCCACCCCATGGCCACAGTCACAGCGACAGGGTGGGACTCGTGACCTGTGATTTCACGTGAGGGAGGAAGTAGCAGTGAGGGAGAAGACAGGGACGAGCCCTGGCCATTCCATTCCGATCCTAGAGTCCAGTCCACCCTAGGGCCCTGCTCAGTGCCTGGAAGTTAACCCGGGTCCTTCCCAGCCCCTTGACTGGTCACTGAGAGACACTGGGTCACTCCAGGCAGAGGCAGGCCCAGGGCCTGGTGTTGAGTTTCAATTCCATCACTTGCTAGCAAGTGACCCAGGCAAGGTTCTTGAACTTCCTAAGCCTGTTTCCATGTCCACAAAATGAGGGCAGTGGCAAGGGCTTGGTGTGACGACAGCCTCGAGGTGCTCAACGCAGGGCCTGTCACATCTCTGCACTCAGCAACTGTCAGTTACATGGGCTGGGCACCCTACCAGGCATCTGGAATGAGAAAAAGAGGGAAGCAACCCTCAGTGGGGGAAACTTAGTGAAAAAGAGCAAGAAAAGAGTATGGGGCGTACCCAAGGAAGAGGAAGGAGGGGAAAGAAGGGAAGACTTCCTGGAGGAGGGGGGTCGTGCTGACAGAGCCAACAGTGATGGGGGGGCTAGAGAGAACACATGGGAGGATACCAGGACATCCTATCCATATGGGGCATTGAAGATGGCAGGACAGAAAGTGCTAGTTAGAAAAGTCCTGTGACTTTATAGTGGAAAATGAGTTGTCTGGGGATGGGGAGGAGAGAGACAGTTATAGCTTGGAGGTGGGGGCAGAGCTGAGAGCTGGAGAGCCCCAGAATCTCAGGGCCCGGTGAATAATTCCACTGAGAAGGAGGGAGTCAGGCTGACTGGAGCTGCTGGTGCGAGCCACTAGGCAGATGGGTGTGCCTTTTGCTAGGGAAAGGATATGAGCTGAGTGTGCTACCTGCTGGTCTGCAGTGTCTCCAGAATCCCTGGAGGCCCTTTGTGACCCCTCACACTAGAATTAGGCAGAAAACGGGAGGACCATGTGACAGCAAAGTTGTCTGTCCTGCTTCCTGATCCTGTTGTCAATTTCCTAGTCTTAGTATCTCTGTCAGGCACACTTTGTCATCCCTCTGTTTTATTTACTTATTTTTGGTGGCACTGGGGTTTGAACTCAGGACCTCACACTTGCTAGGCAGGTGCTCTACCATTTGAGCCACTCCCCCATTCCATCCCTATGCATCTGACTTCCTCCACTCTCAACAGTGGACTACGCTGTCCTTCCCTTTCCTTGGCCTGGATTCTCTCCCTACAGGCAGCATCCTGGCCCTCCGGCCAGCACCACCTCCCTGGCCTGGGCCGTTCTGGCCCTGAATCCCTAAGGGCCTGGAACTATGGACCAGCACTGGGTATAGCCCTCATCTACAGGGTGGTTCAGGACTGGAAAGTTGCAATCAAGAAACAAGATGGAAGATAAAGCCAGAACATAGACTCCCTCAGGGAAAGGGCAGAGCCAGGAGGAGCCCTGGGAACACGCAGGCCCTGCAGTGAAGTTGAGGCTACAGGCCCTGGGCTTGTCCTTGCTCCCCTTTGTGACTCCAGGAAGAACAAGGGTAGCAGAGTTGTAGGAAGTGAGCAGGAGAAAGTGGAGGGGTGGAGAAGAGAGTACCAGCATAGAGCCCACTCAGACCAGCTGACCATTGTCCCTCTGCTTAGAGAACTGGTGATCACTGTGACCTTGGCAAGGACAAGGAACTGGGGAGGGCAGGAGAAATGAAGAGGTAGAGACAGGTGAAGAAGACTCCTCTTCTCAGAAACTTTCGGGGGAGAAAGAGGGAGGTGGAGGAAGAACTAGCCATTCTCTGCAGCATCCAGTCCTTTAAGCAAAGCAGACCTGGGCAATTTTGTGAGCAGCAAGTTCAGAGGGTGGCAAACGCAGTCCATCCAAGGGGGGAGGGACTTTAGGGAGGTTGTGGAGGTGGGGCTGCGAGTCTAGGGGAGGGCCAGGATGGGAAGGTGACCTCACTGCCTACATAGACAAGTTAAGGAGCTGGCATCCTGGCTATAGAGCCCTCTGATCCTGGGATATGGGTTTGAGGCTCAAGGGAGACCCAGGCCAGCTGGCCAGGTCCCCTGAAAGGGAGGGGATTGAAAGGGCAATGGCAGCCTGAGCTAGTGGGTGGAAGTGAAGTAGACAGTTGGGAGCGCCTGGACTGCCACACAGGCATCAGCAGGACAGGGCCAGCCTCAACCAGGCTGCCTGCACGACTCAGGGAGTTACTTTCCTCTGTCGCTGTTACAGAAAAGTGGTTGTGCAGATGCGGGCTTTTCTAGGGCTGGTAGGACAGGCAGGATCCAGATGCAAGGATGTCCCGGGATATCTTCGACAGGTTGCAACACTGATAGGGCTTCAAGTCACTTATACCTACACCTTGAGGGATGGGGTGCCAACTGATGTCTGGGTCCCTGATGCAAGGGAAAGGAGATGTAGGGGGGGCACCTTTTTCTCGGATTCAAGGGCTGAAGTCATCAACTGCTGGGTCAGAGGATGGTGAGACTGGGTCTGGAGGAACCTGCTGATGGGGTGAAGGGTCGTAATCGGGGAACACAGGAGGGTTGCAGCCAGAGGTCCTTCACAGGTGTGAGGGGGCGTTCCTGAGCGGCTGGAGGTGACCCTCGCTCAGGACTTCTTTGGCTCGTCGGTTCGGAGAGACTGTGCTTCTGCCCAGGAAGAGTCTGAATCCTAGCGTAAGAACCCGGGCTGCGGCAGGAGGGCCTAAGGTTCCACGCCGCGAATGCTACGAAAAGCATTGCTCCTAACCGAACACCCGCGACCGTCGTGCAGCCGCAGAGGAGGCGGGGCCCTCGAGTTCCCGCCCCATATGCTAATATGGCGCGCCACCGTCCCGCCCCGGCCCAGGGGCCGGACGAGTCCAATGCTGCGGGGTTCGAGAGGACGCCGGCGCCGAGCGGCATGCTCCAGGAGACTAAGGCGGGGCGCGATGCTGGGGTTCAGGGCCGGCGGGCTAGCGGCACACCCTGGGGGCTGTCAGCGGGCCGCCCGCACGTCCGAGACCACGCTCCCCCACCGGCGTAAAGTGGTACGGGCCTCAGGGGCGGGGCCTGGGTCATGTGACGCGGCCTCGGCCGCCATTTTGCTCTGCGGTGCTGGTATTTAGAGCGCAGCGGCTGACGGGCCGGGTTGCTTTCGTGTTTGCCGCCGCCCGCTTCTGTGTCCGTTTGCCCGTCGTCCTTGCCCCGCCGCGGTTCGCCCAACTAGCCCCCGCCCCGCCCGCAGATATGTCCGAGACCAAGAACGGCCCCGAGTATGCTTCGTTCTTCGCCGTCATGGGCGCCTCGTGCGCCATGATCTTCAGCGGTGAGCTCCCCGGCAGGCGGGGCCCGGGGCGGGGGGCGCCGAGGCGACGCGGGGCTCCTTCCCGCAGCTCGCCGGGGGCCGGGCGTGACGTCACTCTGACGCAATCCCCAGCTGTCGGGGTGCCAGGCCTCACGACCGCGGACGGGGGTCGTGCCAGAGGCCGTCGGGGGCCGTTGCGTGCCTAGGGCGCAGGAATGCGAGCTTGGCTAGAGTGCGGGCCCCGGGGGTCTTCGGGGTCCCGGCCGGCGGCCTGCCAGCCGGGCCGCGTCGGTGCGGGGGTGGGGCGGCGGCGCCGCTGCCATCTTAGCACCGGGAGACGGGAGGGAGGCTGGGGTGGGGGCGCGGGGGGCGGCGCGAAATCCTGCGCCTGCTCCGCACCCCGCATTTTGCGGGCAGGTGTGACATCACACCTCAACAGACTCCAGTCCGTGGGCGGCGGCGGACACGGGGGCGCCCCGGAGAGGAGCCCTCGGCCTCCCGGCCAGCGGGAGCCTGTACCCCCGCTAAGGTCTGAAGCCCTCGATTTTGTGGCTGCCTGACGGGGGGGGGAGGGGGGGATCCTGTATCCTGATGAGGCTGGTGCTTCCGGTTGGGGCTTGTCGCGATTTCCCAATGGTTCTGTCAGCCGTGTGGGCTGATTGGGAAAGCTGGGCTGAGGGTTGGTCCTAAGAGCCCGCTGGGACCCAGGTGTGGGAGCGCTTGGAAGTGGGGGTGGTCTGGGAAGGGGACGCTTATGTGGACGTTTGCTGAGGGTCTGCTTTGCGGTGGGTGAGAGGGTGGCAGAGGGGTGCCAGCATTTACAGGATTGGATCTTTGTTCTTTAGGAGTCTCCAATTCTGGCTCCAGCGAATGGATGGGTGAATGAATGACCTTCTTCCTGAAGTGGGGAGGGGGGTTGGAACTGGGAGGGACTGCTCTGGGCAAGGAGAAAGGGCCTAACGGGGTTCTTGATGGCACCCTGCTTTTGAAGTTGGGCCTTGACAGTACTGGGCTGTCAAATTTAGTGAAAATTTGCCTTCCTGGGGATAAAAAGCTTGGGCCAAACCCAAGAATGTGGGATTGAGGGAGGTAAGTCACAGCCCCTGTGGACTGGTCTGGCCTGGTCTGGGCCTCCTCTGGTAGGTCTGGTCTTTGACTTAAATGACCCCGCCCTGCCCCACCCTACCTGGTGGACTGGGTATGCTCCCGTAGCAGGTACATGAGGGTTTGAACTCCAAACAGTGTCTGCTGACTGTAAACAGTTGTAGGGTTGGGGGTTGGAGTTCTGATCTCTTGGGGGCCTCCCCCTGCCTGGGCCTGTCTGCCAGTCACGCGCTGCTGAGTGAGCCCTGGCCCTTCCCATCCCCTTTGAATAAGGGGTCATTTGTGGTGGGAGATGTGGTCTAGACTTCTCCTTTACTCCCAGGCCACGCCTGTTCTTCCCACACCTCTAGGCCTCCTTGGGGGCAGATCGCTATGCATTCCCTCTACTCTGTCCCCATAATGCTTCTAGAGGTTCCACTACTTTGGCCACCTGTGATTACTGTTCGTTGATGTCACTCATTCAGTCAGCAAATCTTCATTGACTTTTTGCTGTGTGCCCGATACTGAGGGGACATCAGTGAACAAAACAAGACCTCTGCTTGTGAGGAACTCACATTCTGGTTGTCACGATGTCTCCTGCAACCTGGGGTCTGCACACTGAGTCCTTTCTCTGCACCCACCTCTTTCCCTGTTTCCCTTTTTGTCATGTACCCACATGTGTCTGTCTGGCAAGATGTCTGCACACCATTGAAAAATTGGGTATTGCTGGCCTGGACCTTTTCTGCCTGGCCCTGGTTCCTGAGGATTGAAGCCTGCATGCCCCTATTAGCTTCTGCCCCTTCACGACATGTGTCCCTAGCCCCACTCCTGCTTTAATGCAGCCCTGTGACGGCTAGCCTCACACCATCTACCTTTATTTCTTCCTACTAAGCATGTCTTAGGTGCTGGTGGAGTGGCTCAAGTGGTAGAGCGCCTGCCTTGTAAGACTTGCAAGCATGAGGCCCTGAGTTTAAACCCCAGTACCACCAAAAAATTTTTAAAAGGCAAAAAACTTTTACAAACATGTCCTTGTCAGAGTTCTCTGCTACCTGAACAAGTCCCTCTGTCTGTCCTGTGGTGGTTTCTGGTGTTGCTGCCAGACTGACTTCAAGCTGTTTCAGTGCCTGTTGGCCTGCCTCATTCTTGACTGATTAATCTTTAAATAAGGTTTACACACATCTTTCAGGCCCCTATTTTCCATCTCACATTCCAGCTTCCCCTTTTTTCTTATGACAAACATCCTGTTGGTTCTTTCTTCATCATGTCTTCCATGAAGCTGCCAGTTGCTCCTTTTCCGTATTTTCTGTGACTTCCTCCCTGTATTTGGTGCTTGAGTTCCAGGAACTGCCTCCTGAGCCTGCTCTCTGCCCCACTGCATTTGGCATTGTTGGCAGGTGTGCCTTCTGCAGTCCAGAAGGCTTGGCCTTCTGGATACCTGCTGCTACCCAGGCCTGGATTGGTTTTATCTCCTTTTGCTCAGCCCCAAGTGGTCATCCCTGTTTCTTGACTTTGTTCCTCTTGTTGCCTTACCCATCCCCCAGCCACATGACCTCCCTGCTGTCCTCTGGGGAAGGCCCTAGCTCACTTCCTGCCTTTCTCAGGGTCCCACTACTTGGGGTGCTGGGTTCCCTGTGTTCATTTCATCACTCCTCCAGCACTGCGTGTCAGTCTGTGTTCTCCTTGTTGAGTAACATGGCCCAGGGGTGTGAGCCCTGGGGGCACTGGCCTCTTGTACATCAGTGATGCAGCCTGACTTGGGGCTGGGAACCTAAAAATATGACCAGAACAGTTCCATGAGTCAGAGTGTCTATGTACCTTGATGCTGAGAAGGCAGAGCTGCCCCCTCCATCCCAGCAACAGCTTCCTTCATCTAGCACCATTTTGCTTGCTATATGCATGTGTTGTCAAGATCCTTGCCTCTGCCCTGTCTTCCTCTGATCTGCTCACCATCATTTTCCCACTCACCATCACGTGGTCTGTGATCCTTCTCCAGATTCTTACACTGTGTCCCCTTTCCCTTCCTCCAGTGCCCTCCTAACAGAACTGTCCTGTTCTTGTTAGGCTCTGAGCCCTGGGAAGGCAGAGTTCTTCTGATCTCAGCCCTGCTCAGTGCTGGACACAGAGTAGGCATCTTTTGTGGCTCAAAGAGATCAATAAAGCATGCAGAGGAATGACTGGGATTGTTCTTGTTCCTTCTGTCTCTGGCCTATGTTATCTTCTATGTGTCAAGCCCGTCATCATTCCCCAGAATGACCATGGCATGGGTTCCCTGGGCAGAGGTAGGGTGGGAGCTTCCAGTGCCACTTGTCCAGGTCCCTGTGGGGACCCTGGAGGGCAGGTAGCAGAAGTGGGAAGAACTGCACTTCAAGAACTGAAGCTGGGAGAGGGAAACAAATTTCTGAAAGGAAAGCAGCATCCCCTGAGGAGGTGGGGGATGGGGGACAGCACTAGAGAAAAAGGCCACCCCAGAGTCCTGCTTTCCTGTTGTCATGTTGTGAAGGCCTAAAGGCCCCAGTGCAGGCAGGGGCTGCCTCTGAGAGGTTTCTTGAGGCCTTGTGCTTAGGTTGGGTAGTGAGGCTACAGCCCTGTCCTTTCCTTGGTTTGCCCTTCTCCCTGGTTACTTAGGGAGGGTCTCTAATCTCACAGCTCCAGGGTCTGTTGTGTGGGTGAGTCTGAAAGCTCTGGCCTGGAGGACTGGACTGGCCAGGTCAGCTATTCCTGAACCTGAGATTATGCCTAGAGGGAGGGCTGTGCTGGTGATCTGCATGGTGGCTTCCCAGCGTGTTGTGCAGTAGCCTCAGGACTGGCTAACCCTGGGCTGCTAAGAGGCAGTCCACTCATGCTTGTGCAGGTCTTTCCCGGCTGAAAGTACTGGGTACTTAAGATGGGACAAAAGTGCCTAGAATCTCAAGCAAAGCTTCTGGGATCCCCCTGCCTGTTCCCATGTGACTGGACTGCCTGAGGGTACAAGCAGCAGCCTGGGGTGAGGAAGGTGGTGCTAGGGAGCAGGACCTAGTTTCACAGAACGGAGTTCCAGATGGCCACAGAGGCCACTTCAGGAGGAGGAAGAAGTGGGCTGTGGAGTGGGGTTGGCTCAGCCAGAGGAAAGGGGAAAATGGATATAGTGGTGGCTGTTCCTGTCAGGGCCTCCTGACCCACTGGGTGCCTCAGCTCCTAGAATCTTTAGTAACTTGGGGAGCCCTCCCACCTCTGCAGAAGCTCCTCCCCAGGCAGCCTAAGCACACCTCTCTCCCTTCCACAGCCCTGGGTGCCGCCTATGGCACAGCCAAGAGTGGCACCGGCATTGCAGCCATGTCTGTCATGCGGCCGGAGCTGATCATGAAGTCTATCATCCCAGTGGTCATGGCGGGCATCATCGCCATCTACGGCCTAGTGGTGGCAGTCCTCATCGCCAACTCCCTCAATGATGGCATCACCCTCTACAGGTGAATGTGGGCCTGTCCTGCTGGGTGTGGCTTCCTGTGGCAGGAGTCGAGCTCACAGCCTTTGTTTCTTCTCTCTCCTAGGAGTTTCCTTCAGCTGGGCGCTGGCCTGAGCGTGGGCCTGAGCGGCCTGGCAGCGGGCTTTGCCATCGGCATCGTGGGCGACGCTGGCGTGCGGGGCACTGCCCAGCAGCCCCGGCTGTTCGTGGGCATGATCTTGATCCTCATCTTCGCCGAGGTGCTTGGCCTCTATGGGCTCATCGTGGCCCTCATCCTGTCCACCAAGTAGCCCCTCTCCGAGCCCACCAGCCACAGAATATGACGTAAAGACCGCCCCCTCATTCCGGAACGAACAGCCTGACACACACGCACGGGCAGCTGCCCCCTCCGTAGTGGTCTTGTAAATGCGCAGTGTCCTAGTGCCCATCGTCTGTTGCCCCCGCCTGGCCCCTGCCGCCCCGTGCTGTGGACATCTGGGCCCACTCATCTCCCAGCCACGTCCCTGACAGTGAGGATGCAGGCCTCCGGCCGCCCCTCTCATCACCCTAGAGTGCTGTGTATAAGGATGAATTAGTTGTCATTTTTCTCTTCACTGGATGTTTATTTATAAAGATTGACCTGTTCATGCGTCTGTGGAGCAGCCCTGCCTCCCAGCTATATAGTAACCTTAGTAGAGTGTTGCCTTGTGGGGTTCCCGACGCTGAGACTCCTTGGATGGAGCCGCTCTCCCTCCGGCTGCGGGCTGCCAGGCTGGCGGGCAGAGTGCCGGCCTCCAGGCCCCGGCGCCGAGCTGTGTCCAATAAAGTTCTCGGATGTGACAGCTAGTGTCCGCGCGCTTCTGTGGGCGGGGTGGCGGGGCTGCTGGCGTCACGTGGGCCGCCGGGTCACGTGGGCTCTGCGGTCACGTGGCGCCCGCGCCGTCAGCTGAGGTCACGTGGCGCGTCCGAGCCCGGCCCGCTTCCGAGTTGCGGCGGCTCCGGGCAGGCGCCGCGGGCTCGCTGGGTTCGGGCGCGGCTCACCATGCGCGCCGGGCAGTGCGCGGCGCGGGCTCCGGTGCTCCAGTTCACCAACTGCCGCATCCTGCGCGGCGGCGCGCTGCTCAGGTCGGGACCGCGGGGTGCAGGCCTGGGATCCGGGCGGTGACTGCACAAGAGGCTGGGCGGGGTGCGGGCCGGGGACCCGGCAGAGTGCTGGGTGCAGGCACAGCTGGGAGGCCGGGCCGGGGACTGGCCGCAGCCCGACCGCCGGCCGCTCTGCCCCCAGGGAGGACCTGTGGGTGCGCGCGGGCCGCATCTTGGACCCTGAGGAGCTGTTTTTTGAGGAGCGGCGCGTGGCTGACGAGCGGCGGGACTGCGCGGGCCGCATCCTGGCGCCCGGCTTCATCGACGTGCAGATCAACGGTGCGGCCTGGCCTGGGCCAGGGAACCCTGGGGAGGCGCTTTGAGCACCGTACGACCCCTTCTTTTCTGTGGCCGCAGGTGGATTTGGTGTTGACTTCTCCAAGGCCACGGAGGACGTGGGCTCAGGGGTCGCCCTGGTGGCCCAGAGGATCTTGTCCCACGGTGTCACCTCCTTCTGCCCCACTCTGGTCACTTCCCCACCAGAGGTTTACCACAAGGTGAGGTCAGGCTCCCTGCCTAAGGCAAGGAGGGCCCCTTGGCAGCCAGCCCCTAACTTTCGGATGTGCCCCCGGCTCTGGGCACCTGAGTCCGCCCTCACTTCTGCCCTCCTTCCACTTGAGCATGGGGTCGTGGCCCGCCCCGGGCTTTCTCCACGAGTTGTCTGGCTGCCTGGTGTCTGCAGCTGTCCCTACATTTGCTGTCAGCATTCTCACCGGCCACAGATCTTCCCCACCCCCAACCCCCACTGGCCTCCTCCAGGCCTCCCGGAGCAAGGTCTCCTGAGACTCTGATTGCTACGACCATTGTCTCTGGTCAGGCTCTTCCTCCCTAACCTGCCTGTGACTCACTTGAACACGCCTTGCAGAAAGAGCTGCTCCCCCGCTCCCCGCTGCTTCCCTGCGTTCTGAGCTACTTTCACCTGCATCCCTCACCCTTCCACTCTCCTCCTTAGGACTTCTTTTCGTTTGGTTTTCTTCCCCAAGTGTTACTCAGGTTCTTAATCTACCAAAGCATTCGAGAGTAGGTTGCATGCATCGAGCCTTTCTTTCTTGAAAACATGGGTATTCTCTTAATACAACCACAGTTTGGCGGTTGAGTTTGGTAATTTAATGCTGTTCCCCATACTTTAATGGATCCCATCATTCCTGTTTTGTTATTTGCCTCAGCTGGTTTTTCCTCCAGTACAGGATCTATTTCAGAATGAGGGAGTGTGTGGCAGCCTGTGGGTCCCTTTCTGGGTGTGTGGTCACAGAGTCAGATTAGGGAACCATGGGTGAAGTGTGTGGGCTTGTGGTCCTGGCCTCCTGACTTCTGTATCAGCTGGAAGACTTGGGACAACCTTAGCCTTTCTGAGAATAATCTTGTCCAGTTGTTGGGCACTGGGCACTCTTGTACATGTTTAAACAATCAATAAATGGCAGCTAGGGGATCTTTCTAGAAATTTCCCACAGCTCTCCCAGTAAACAGTCAAATGTCAAAAAAAACAAACCTGTGGTCCTGCAGCAAATGGGCACCTGGCTTTCCCAGCTGCTCTCTTGGGCTCTGGGTCCTGCCACAATGACTTTTTAAAATAACAGGACTGAGCACTGCCCTTGCCCCAGGAACATTCCCTAGTACCTGAGGAGCCTCTTCTCTCTCCCGAGGCACATTCCAGTAGCTCCAGGTGTCCCCTCTCCTGCCCCCACACCTCAACCACGGAGCCTTGCTCCTGCAGCTGGTCTGACCAGTGTGATGCAGTTAGCCGGCTTCTTAACTTTGCTTCCTAATACCTGTTGCAGTCCAGGTACCTTTTAGACTCAACTGACACTGATAGGTGAAAGCCTCAGGAGGCAGACAGCAAACTACTGAGGGTAGAGATCAAAGAGGGCTTTGAATATGAAAACTTAATATCACCATTGTCTTAGAAACCAGAGGACACTGTCGGAGCATGGTGGTGTACACCTGTAATTCCAGCTACTCAGGAGGCATTGGTAAGAGGATCGATGTGCCAGACTAGCTCTAGGCAAAAAGCACAGGACCCTATCTAAAAAATAACTAAAGCAAAAGCAGGAAAGGGATTCTGGGGTTTGGTCAAGTGGTGGAGCACCTGTCTAGCAAGCCCAAGAACCTAAGTTCAAACCCCAGTAACTGCCAAAAAAAGAAGGAAACCAGAGGATGCTCCCTTTGGAGACCTCCCCTCCCATGCACCCTCCCTCTACAGGGCCCCTCAACACCAGGTAAAAATGATTTGTGATTTTCCACTTTGCTTGAAGTTACCCACTCTTGTCATCTATGTCTGGTTCACTCATACCCTTTGCTTTTTTCTGGGGGCTCCTCTAACCCTTCCCTTTGCTGTCATTCCAGGAGGCACATGTGCCCCTGTTCTTTGCTTCAAGTTCATTATCTGCTGAGTCAAGGTCAGGCACATCCTCAGGGTGGCAGCCCCATAGGACCTCCACATTTGGATTTTTCCAGCTGCTTCCCTGCCTTAAACGTGTCTCATTCCCTCCACCTCCAGCCTACTGTTTATCCTGTTTTTATTTAGTGCTCTTGCTTTGCCTCTCAAAGCTCTGTTGTAGAAAAATTCAGTCATCTTTTTTTATTATCTCCATGAACTTGTTTATCCACAATAACTTATGGGATAACAAGCAGTTTCCACCCTAGGTGCCATCACTTTCAACTCGGCTGTCTTCTTAGGAATTCACCTGCATGTCTTAAAAATTATGCTGCTCTTCCTGCTTGACTTTTCAGTTTGGGCATTGTCTGTTGCCTCTCACCAGGGAAAGATAAGGATCATCCCTCTTATCCACTTCTGTCTCCTCATACTGTAATTTTGATTAGATCAACTGTGTAACTCTCATTGGGGAGCTAAGGGGAGTCCCACTCACTTACATTTTCTTACTTGCCAACTCTGGTTTCCCTAGAGTTAATGTTCTTTGCTTGGGGACGAGAGGTGTGGCTCAAGAGGTGGAGTGGCTGCTTTGCAAGCTCAAAGGAAGCCCTGAGTTCAACCCCCTACTTCCACCAAAAAAAAAAAAAAAAGTCTGGCGCTGGTGGCTCATGCTGTAATCATAGCTATTCAGGAGGCAGAGATCAGGAAGACTGAGGTTCAAACTCTATCTCGAAAACACCCAACACAAAAAAGGGCTGCTGGAGTAGCTCAAGTGGTAGAGAGCCTGCCTAGTAAGTGTGAGGCCCTGGGTTCAAACCCCCATACTGCAAAAAAAAAAAAAAAAATTCTTTGCTTGGATGTTTAGTTACTAACACAGCTGCAGGCTTCCTGCTGTCTCGCTCTCTGGCTATTTACACACAGTACAGGCTCCATCAACTTTGTCTTCCTGCTCTCTCCAGTACTGGCTATCCTCAGCAGGGCCAAGATGTCCTGGGAACTCTTTTTCCCTTACCTGGAGGAGTCGCCCATGTCCCAGATGCTGTCCTCTTTGCTGGCATCCACCTTCATTTTGTTGGAGCATGTTCTCCAGGAGTTTCTGGAGAAAAGGGTCATGAAGTTTGCATTCTTGAAGTTCTGAAAATGTATTTTATTGATCCATGGCTTGGCTGGGTTAGAGTTCTAGGTAAGAGGGCATTTTTTCCCTAAATTTTTTTCTTTGGTGCTGGGGATTAACTCAGGGTCTTGCACATGCTCCTCCACTGACCTATACAACCCAGCCCCAAACTCCTGGGCTCTACCCAACTCCCCTTTAACCTTTTTGTTTTTGAGACAGGGTCTCTCTAGGTTGCCCAGGCTGGCCTCAAACTCCTGAGCTCAAGTGATCCTTTTTTAGTATGTGGGATGACAGGCATACACCTCTCCTCTAAAATGTTAAAAGCAGGGCTATATTGTTTTTGAACTTCCAGGGTTGTGGCTAGGAAGTTGGAGGCCATCTGATTCCTGATCCTTTCTGGGTGGCTTTTTCCCTCTGGAAACTTGTAGAATATTTTCTCTGTCCCTGGATCTGAGGTCTCAGAGTGGCCAGCTGTGGGAACGGAGGGGTGTGAGGTGTGGATTAATCTATTGTGCTGCTGTTGGACACAGCTGGAAGCTCAGCTTTGTGGGATTTTTGTTGAGACAGGGTCTTGCATTGTAGCCCAGGCTGGCCTCTAACTCTTGATCCCCCTTACTCAGGCTCCTAAGTGCTGGGATTACAAATGTATAGTACCACACCTGGTGTTTAGTCCCCCTATTTTCTCTTCTTGAATTATTTCCTTGGTGACTGTTCTTCTGTCATTTCTCTGTCACCTTATGGGAGTCCCACTAGTCCACTGTGGGACCTTCTGGATCTATTCTGATATATTTTCTCTTCCTCAGCTTTGATCTCGGGTTTCTTGAACATTCTGATTTTTGAAGAGATTGTTTTCATTGGCCCCCTCCCTTCCCCAAATTTTCCTTTTTTTTTTTAAATGGCATTACTGTGTTGTGAAGGGCCTCGTGCTCTACTAATTGAGCCATACCCCTGCCCCATTTTTTGTTTAGTTATTTTTCAGACAGGGACTTGTGTTTTTGCCCAGGGCCGGCCTCAGACCACAGTCCTCCTCCCTGTGCCTTTCATGTAGCTGGGATTAAAGGCACAGGCCACCATACCTGGCCTTTTAAAAAATGTGTTATTTAAAAAAGGTTTTTGGTAGGCTGGGGTGTTTGAACTGAGGGCTTCATGTGCTTGCAAAGCAGGCGCTGTACCCGTCTTAGCCGTGATAGTCCTTTTTTTAAATTTTTAGTCTTTCTGATTTTACTTATTTATTTTGCAGTGCTGGGGATCAAACCCAGAGCCTTGTGCATGCTAGACAAGCACTCTGCCACTGAACCATAGCCCCATCTCCAAATTTTTTTTTTTTCTAACACCCAATTCTTGCTTCATTAATGCAAGGC